GGAGTTCTTCGAAAATGGCTGGCACATCAGAATCCATCAACTTTCCACTTGGCTTATCTTGAAAAGAAGTGGATTTCATACTCTGCTTCTTGCTCACCTTCGTTGTGAACTTCAAGATGACGTGTTGACATTCATAGCTTCTTTGCTTTCAGACTTGGATACGAGCTTGCCCCACTTCTTGACTTCTTGCTTGTCATTCCCTTTGCGAGGTTCATAGATGGGCAGCCTTTTATTTCCAGCGGAGGCCATGCTCAATTCCATATCATGGGCACGAGTTGCAAGTTCTTCAAATATGCCAGGCTTGATACCTTGCAAGATGCAGCGCAATCCCTAATGCATGCCTTGGATGCACATCTCTATGCCTGAAGCTTCACTAAGCTTGTCTTTGCAGTTGAGGCTTGCATTCCTCCAACGATTGATAAAGTCGATAACTAGTTCCCCCTTTCGTTGACGAGTATTTGTAAGTTCTATCATACTTACAGTATGTCTCGTACTATAAAAGCGATTAAGGAACTCTTGCTCTAGTTGATCCCAACTATCGATTGGTCCAGCCTCGAGGTCCGTGTACTAGTCAAAAGCATTTCCTTTTAGTAAGCGGACAAACTGCTTGATGAGGTAATCTCCATAAGTCCCAGCATTGTTGCACGTCTCCACGAAGTGCGCAACATGTTGCTTTGGGTTACTTTACCACCAAACTATTGAAACTTTGGAGGTTGATAGCCAGCAGGCATCTTCAACATATCGACCCTTGCAGTGTACGGCTTTTCATATGTAAGGGAGGATTTGGCAGCAACTTCATATTTGTTTATGGTTCCTTCAATTAACTCCTTCTATTGATCAATTGGAATCAATCCTTCAGATGAGGCAGGGATAGCCTTAGTGGATGCTGCTTGTCTTGGGGGAGAGTCACTCTCTAGAACTTCTGGGAACTTGCCGCGTGCATGGGTGGATTCTTCTTCCATCAAGATTTCCACCCTGTCTGTTAGCTTGTCAATTCTAGCCTTTTGATTTTGCATGCATTTGGTCAAGCCAGCGATTGCTTCTGTCAAGTTTGTCAACTGCTCCTCCATAGATAAAGTGTTTGTCACCATGGCTTGCATGATTGTCGTGGACGACGGAGAGTAGCATGGATTTTCACACAGATTGATCCTTGATTGGATCACGCTATATGGTTTAAGTGGGGAGGATCCATTACTTGAATCAACATCATCTTCCTTCCTAGTAGAGTGCTTGGATCCGAAAAGGTCAAGCAGAGCAAGAGTTTTCTTGATCTTTTCAGCAACATCGTTTCCTCCTTCAAGTGCGTTTGTGGAAGATCTTGCTCCATTTGAGGATGAAGATCCGAAAACTGGTGTTGACGCAGACGGCACTTGGGGTGCTTGTTGTCCTAAAGAGCTCGTTTTGTTCCTCGTAACTGGTCCGAAGCTTCCAAAGGTAACATCAAGGATGCTTTCCACATCAGCGTAGAACCTAGAGCTAGTAGCCTTGGTGGAAGTTGAACCGGAGTTGATTTTCTTTGAAGCCATTTCAATGTTCTCGGACTTTGGTGATTGAAAAGTTGAGATGAGAGGTAGAGATTGTCCCACTGGGCATGCCAGATTTGTAGACAATAAATTGCGTCGAGAAAATAAAATCAAGACCGAAAATATCGCAACAATCGTAGTATTTTATTTCGAATATTTGAGTGTACAATCTCTATGAATCCTCTGATTCTTCTTTTCAATAGTAAATAAATTCAAGGGCCTTTGAGTTTGATCTTGAATCTATGTTTGTTACCACGAACGATGATCTTGTTATTGAGATTTAGCTTGATTGTTTGAACTTGACCTTGATTTGTTCTTCGTTCTTGAGCTTGAACTTGATTTGTTCTTCGTTCTTGAGCTTGAACTTGATTTCTTGAACTTGAAGCCTGAAACTTGTGGAGGAATTTGCAGCGTTTGATCCACGAGCTCTTTCGTGCTTCTTGTTATAACTTCTGGTGTCTTTTCTGAGTTATGAAGACCCTTATTTATAGTTGTGGGAGGGAAGAGTTTTGATCAGAACAAACTCTTTCCGACCAATCAAATTGAAGGGTGACATGACCGCATTTGATTGACTAGAATATGTCACTTGCACACGTGGCGCGATTTCATTGGCCTTTCAGTATGACTGGACATGCCTTGTCATTTTAACACGTGGCATGGTTCTATTGGCTCTTCCGCTTGACTTGGCGTGCCACGTCGTTTGACACGTGACACCAAACTAGGCCTCTAGGAAGATGACATCTTGGGCTTAATGAAGTGGGCTTATCACTTTAGCCCAATTAAATGGACTAGCCCAATGGATTAAGAATTATTTATTTAATTCATATATATTGGACTTATATAATTAATTCAATTATATTAGCCCATAATATTTATTTGGACCAGTATATCTTGAATTTAAAATATAATCCAAATTATTTTATGTATTTAAATCCAATAAAATTTAAATGTCTGCAGGCGTGTTAAAATATAGAGTCAACTTCAAAAAATTATTTGGAACGATCCTGAACCCTAAACCCTAAACTTTGCGATTCTGAAGTTCCTACATCAAGATATAAAACTTTTGGTGAAGTCGCATAAATCTGAAACTAATGACGTATCGGAATATAGAGTCAACTTCAAAAATTTATATGGAACGATTCTGAATGTGTTTAACTCTGAATTTTGTATATGTTGTAGATCTTGAACTATAGTTTTTGATAAATCAAACGGTGTACGATTCTGTGATTCTTACATCAAGATATAAAACTTTTGGTAAAGTCGCACAAATCTGAAACTGATGGTGCGTCAGAATATAGAGCCGACTTCAAAAAATTATCTGGAATGATCCTGAATGTGTTTAACTCTAAATTTTAGATATGTTGTAGATCGTGAACTCTAGTTTCTGATAATTCAAATGGTTTGAGATTCATAGGTTCCTATATCAAGGTATAAAGCTTTTGGTAAAGTCGCACAAATCAAAAAATATCAGCATGATAGAAATTAAGGTTAATTTCAAAAAATCACCTAGGGTTATCCGCGAAGATTCTAATCCTAAATTTCGAATATGTTTTAGAACTAAAAGTCTAGCTTCTATAGAATCAAACAGACCATGATTTGGACCTTTCTACAGCAAGATATCAATTTTATACCACAAGATATACTTGCTGTAAAAGGGTGACAAAAATTGAAAAGAAAAGAAGAAGAAGTTACCTTCAACTCTTCCAAACGTCAAAGGCAGATTCAAACTCTATTATAACACCGTTTCTAGGCTCTAAGACTTCTATCGGATCCCTATTTATAAATAAATAGTGAAGGTGTTTTAATTCCTAATGTGATACAAACTTTGGTAGTTATAGGAGTCCAAGAAAGTTTAAGTATCCGAGTTCGACTGAAAGGATAAAGAGGAGTCACAAGTCCTTATTTAGTCAAAATGGTCAAAGAATTTATGGAGGCCTACATGACTACATGGAAAAGTAATAGTCTACTTTGTTTGTGGCCATTAAATTTTCTACATGAAAAATCACTCCATGATTAAATACCTCATGGTATTCACACGAATGGAGTACTTAATATTGTATGTCATCTTTTTGAATGAAAAAATGTCAGACATTTGAGAAAGACTATCTCTTCTTGGTAAAAAAAAATATAGCTAAGGAGGTTCAAGAAACTCTTAAATGGTTCTTTTGGCAGTATATCCCCATGAATAAGCAAGGATACTCGTGCAAGCTTACTTGAAAAAGTTATGGCACACTACTCTTGGGATAATTACTTTAAAGTAGTGCATGGACCAACAAAAAGGGATCTTGGAAAGAAAGATATTATACTTCAAGCCTCGTCTAAGAAGTGCAACAAATCTACACTCCGACAAATCTTAAAGTAGGGAGCATTTGTAGGCATATAAATTTTATTAAAATTAAATCCATAAAATAATTTGGATTATATTTTAAATTCAAGATATATTGGTCCAAATAAATACTATAGCTTAATATAATTGAATTAATTATATAAGTTCAATATATATAGATTAAATATATAAGTCTTAATCCATTGGGCTAGCCCATTTAATTGGGCTAATGTGATGAGCCCACTTCATTAAGCCCAAGATGTCATCTTCCTAGAGGCCCAGTTTGGTGCCACATGTCAAATGACGTGGCATGCCAAGTCAATCAAAAGAGCCAATGAGATCATGCCACATGTCAAAATGACAAGGCATGCCAAATCAGATTAAAAGGCTAATGAAACCGTGCCACATGTGCAAGTGACATGTTCTGACCAATCAAATGTTGTCTTGTCACTCTTCAATCTAATTGGTCAAAAAGAGTTTGTTCTTATCACAACTCTTCCATCCCACAACTATAAAAAGGGGTCTTCATAACTCAGAAAAGGGACCACAAGTTACAACAAGAAGCAAGAGAGCTCGTGGATCAAACGCCGCAAATTTCTCTACAGTTTCAAGCTTCAAGTAATCAAATTCAAGCTCAAGAACGAAGAACAAATCAAGATTCAAGGAGTACGAGTACAAATCAAAGTTCGTTTTAGTTGAATTCAAAATCATTGTCCGTGGCAACTACATATTCAAGATCAAGCTCAAAGGCCCTTGAACTTATTTACTATTGGAAAGAAGAATCAGAGGATTCATAGAGATTGTACATTCAAATATTTAAAATGAAATACTACGATTGTTGCGATATTTTTCGGTCTTGATTTTATTTTCTCTACGCAAATTTATTGTCTACATACGGCATATCAAACAAAAAAGTTAAAGATCATTTTTAGCCAGAGGCCAAAACTATTTATATTTGGTAGTCGCAAAGTAGATAAAATTTATATATTTTTTGTCAATATACAAAAATATATAGATAAAAAAAATTAGGTTATACAATGTCATTTTTCAAAAAAAAAAAAGTTTTTTTTAAGAAATCTTTTGATAAGTTTCTCGTGATGCGCTGAATTGGGCGGGTAAAATTCTTCTTGGGCTGATTTTGCTACGAAGCCTAACAAGCCTTATTCATCATTTAGGCTAAAAGTCCAATGTTTAGATCCAAAGCAAATCCCAGTCCAGGTCCACAAAGCTACCCGTAAATGCCACTCCGCCGCCGCAAACCACCACTAGTACTACCACCAATCACCGCCACCGCCGTTAACAACCACGGCGATAAACCATGCTGACCCAACTCCTCTCCAAACTAAACCATCAACCACCCACCACCACCATCCTCCTCCTCCTCCGCCGGAAAACTACCTCAGCTGAATACGTAGCCTCGAGAAACCGAGACCCCACTTTCGAAAAACTCATGGACAAATACAAAAACCTCTTCAAAGTCATCTCGATTCAAAACCTCATCCTCGGCACCACCACCACCAACAACGCCACCGCCTCACCCCCCGCCGTGTCCGTCGACTTCCTCAACCGCTTATCTCAGCGCCTCCATCTCAACCGCGGCGCCACCCATTTCCTCCGTAAGTACCCCCACATCTTCCACATTTTCCACCACCCCACCAAATTACAACCCTTTTGTACACTCACTGAATCCGCCCTCAAAATCACCCAACAAGAAGCTGCAGCTATCAATGCTTCTTTACCACTTGTAATCAACCGTTTAGTGCGTATGTTGTCTATGTCAGTGACTAAAACACTGCCCCTTAGAGCCATTTTCAAGGTTTTTAGGGAACTTGGTTTGCCTGATGATTTTGAGGATAGTGTAATCTTGAAAAAATCTAATCTTTTTGCACTTGTTGATAGTGGGATTGAACCAAACACTCATTTATTGAAACTTGTTGGGGATGTAATACCGAAAAGTGAGTTAGTTGCAGCTGTTGATAGTTGGAGGGTTATGGAGTGTTGTAAAGAGGATGTTGGGGTTGATAGGAATGAGATTTTGTATAGTTTTAAGCATAGTTATCCACCAGGGATGAAGTTGAGGAGGAGTTTTAAGGCAAAGGTTAAGGAATGGGAAAAGTTGAAGTACGTGGGGCCGTACGAGGCGGTGGAGATTGGGGAGAAGAGAAAGAGTAAGATTGGGACGATGGAGATGGAGAAAAGAGCTGTTGGGATTGTTCATGAGTTTTTGAGTTTGACAGTTGAGAAAATGGTTGAGGTAGAGAAGATTAGTCATTTTAGGAAATGGTTTGGGATTGATTTGAATATAAGGGACTTGTTTTTGGATCATCCAGGGATATTTTATTTGTCGACGAAAGGGTATAGGCATACAGTGTTTTTGAGGGAGGCTTATGAAAGGGGATGCTTGATTGAACCGAACCCGGTGTATGAGGCTAGGAGGAAGCTTCTTGATCTTGTTATTTTGGGACGGCGTGGATTGTCTAGAGGTCACTCTGAGCCAACGAGCGTGAGACAGGGTGACGATGGTATTGACGAGTTGAAGACTGATTCAGATGAAGATTGAATGCAGGGATGCTTTGCAATAGCTTAGCAGTGAAAATGGAGGTAAGAATAGAGAACACGAGTGCTGGATTGTTCATTTACTCTGAGGTAGATTTCAAATCTTTTGATTCAAACGCACAAGAATTGTTTTCGTTTAATTTCAGTTGGATTACAGCATTCTAGTCCGTGGATTTCAGCATATTCATGTAATTATGCCTCAAATACCAAACTAGTTAGGGACGGCTATATGAATCCTACATATCCATTCGACTCTACTTGGGCTCATTTCATTCTTTTTTGGCTCATTTCATTACAACATATCCTTTTATACTATCAAAAACTAAATTCCCTCTTTTCATGGCTCCCTGTCATGTCTTTTAGAGGCAGAAATAAGTTAAATATATCTCATTTGTTCTGTACTGTATGATCATATGTTTCTTTATGTCTTATGATCAAGAAAACTAATCTTATCACTTGAGGTCGGTCTAACTTAACTAAGAAACCCGACAGAATGCATAAAATCTTATGCACATGAAACTCACGCACCAGACATGAATGCATGTCTTAGGAATGAAATGAAGGCCTTCAGTGTTTAGCGACCTTTTAACTAATATGATAGGATGGTATGATCTTTGAGAGTTTGCATATATAGCAAGTTCGAGTTGAAAGATAGATGCAACTATGCGAGTATTATTTGAATACATTATATCCACGTGCATCCATGTTTCATTGACAAAACAGTCCATAGCAGTCATGCTGTGAACTTTCCCTGTTGGAAAAGAAGCTATTAGCTGCATATCTGGTCCATTGATTTTGTTCTATTTGTTAACTTCCAGGGAGATGAGTAACATCCATATTAGCAGAGACCAACTTCAGCGAGTGAGATGAATTATCCTCCACATTAGCATAGAGGCTTGCGTTTGAGGAAATGAGGCCGAGTTTCAATTACTGATTACACTGTTATAAGGCTGCAAAATTTGCTGCTTTATAATGGATGACGTGGTGGTTGCAAGTGAATGTTGAGTATCACTGATACTTTAAGAGAGTTACTCGATTTAGAACTTGTGGTCTTTGGGTGAAGCTACACAGGCCGTAATGCTTGCAGTGCCCTGCCTTTTGAACAATGCACGACTGTTTTTGATTGTTGCAAATCTATCTAGCCAAGCTGTTTTGTAACTTCTACAAGTTTTGTGAAGGTGGGGAAGCCAGCGAATGGAATCGGAGCATTCATTGTATCATCTTGGAAAAAGAAGTCCAAATCCTGCATGCATGATCTGGGAGCTGGAGACAGGCCAAGTGAAATTATGTATCTTACTTGCTTACTAATTATCTTGGTTTCTTAGGCATTAACTGCAAGTTGTGTTGTATATTACTCACAAGTTTCTGGGTCCGTGGTTTCTCCTTTTTTATGAATGTGTTGAATTGTAAGCTGATATTAGTTGAAGAAGAATGTATATTAAATTTATGAAATTTGGTTTGGAAATTGGAATGCTGCACAAATGCATTAAGCTTTCTTATCAACCTTTAAAAGTAGCAGAATTAAATCAAACAATCACAAATTGCATGCTGTTTCTTAGATGCCAGATGGTTAAAGCTCTTTGGGCCATATACAGCATACAGCTTAGTTTCCACCTCAATGTCAAAAAGTAGAGAAACGTGCTAATTTCTTAGTTGAATATTTTTAGCGGAGGTGTATGCAACAGGTGTTTTTACCTGAGCACTTAATGCAAGATCTTCACCTTAAAGTAAAAGATAGGGTGAGGTGACAGTTCAATGAGCATTAATGCTTCTTTGGCATCAGAGAAGTTTCGCCAAAACCCAAGGTAATAAATAATGAATGGTATACAAGCCCAACGGCAATTTAGGTGTCCATCTCCATGCACATGTAGAACCTGGAAGTAAATGGCAGATGATGCTTTCATCCTTTCTTCTCTCTCTTAATACAAGTTCCATCATTAACCAGTGTTTGTTTCTTTATGGTATGTGTGGTTAAAATCCAAACCCTCTGCTAAGCTGGAACAATGGCAAACACATGGGAGTATGTGTCAACTTTGTTTAGTAATACATATACGTATACAAAAAATTACTTTGCATGCATAAAATTCCAGACCATTAACTTTAAATCTTGGATTTTGCCGGTTGGCTGATCAAAACAGTAAGCATTCAGGAAGTCATAAAATCACTAGTTACTGGTTTTGAACCGTTGAATTTTCTGAAGACACGCCTGAGCTCTTTCCAAGACAACATCAATCCTACTCCTCTTTGTACAACTCACAGGATCCAGCACTACTTTTTGCAGTTTCTTCTTATTGGGTTCTTGATTTCCCTGACTACCATTGCTTCCATTTTTCCTCTTCCTGTTGCTTGATGACTCTATTCAGATCCCAGCACAGAAACTCAAACATCAGCAGAGCAAACTAACTTAAAAATTGTAATATGCAAACATAGACGAATTCAGGATTTAAAACTAGTGAATGGAGATTCCCATTACATGCATCTACAGTCAATGGCATTAAGTATTAAAAAACTAACAGAGTATTTCAAAAAGTGCATGAATGCCACAAGATTCAAGATTGCAACCTAAAAACAAATTTTGAGCCACCTACGCCGCTACACAATGTTATCTATGACACGACTTATATATACACGAAAAAGAATTGGTTTAAATTACCATACTTATACAGTATAATTTACTGACAAAAGGAATTCGATTGAACCCCACTTGGACCATGTATCTCAAAAATGTCACGGGTTCAAATCCTGTCCTCAAAAGGTGGCATGCCTATATTTGGCTGAGAACTCTTGTTATAGGCGAACGTAACCAAGGGTAGATGTCTATCCCAACAACCTCGAAAATCAAGGGATTACCTCCGTATAGCCTCCAATGTCTTGGATGGTCCTCTTAGACTGGCCATCGGTCTGAGGATGGAAGGCTGTGCTCGGCCGTGCCCACAATTTTTGGTGGAAAAGTGTGCATACATGGTCTCACTATATAAATTTCAAATATTTTCAACTATATACATTAAGTTCGAGCTAAATACAACGGGTTAAGTAGAATTCACTATCAAAGGAACATATGATAGCATAAACAAAAAGAAGAAAATACCTTGAGTAGCAGCAGAGGTGGAAGGAACAGAATCAGAGTTGTTGGATTCAAGAAAAGTGATGAAGGATCTGAGCTCCAACTTCAGATACTCAAATTTGTTTGGGTGCTGATCTTCTAAAATTTCCAGTTCTTCTTTTGCTTGTTCTATCATATTAATGTTCGTTTTTGCTGAGCCAAACACATTCCATGATGTTGACGGCCATTCCATTTTTTCCTTTTTTAGCTTAGAACTCTCAGGGAAATGAAAAGACAAAAGAAGAGCAAAAGCCGGAAAGTTCGAATTCATTAATAAATGAGTTTGTTCCTTTGTTTTTAAATCCAACTCCTCGTACAGTGTCAACTGACCATAAAGCGCGACATGAAAAGGTTTTATGTCCGTTTCTCGATATTGTAAACGCTTCGTTCCTGTACCCACTATGAAGTGGAGTGTACATGCTGCATTTTCTAGTTTAATACACCTTGGTTTCTCATTAAATTATATTTAATTAAAAATTAAAATTAATACTCATTTCATTGTTTGATACACCATTGGTGTAAGAGCCCGTTTGGCCAATCTGCCAAAATCTGCTTATTTTGAAAAGAATTTTTTTTCAGAAGTACTTTTTTTAAAAGTACTTTTAAAAAAAGAAAATGTTTGTGTTTAGTCAATTCATTTAAGAAGTATTTTTTGCAACATTTGGTAAATAAATTATGTTTGACCAATTTTTAAAAAAAATGCTTTTGAGTGTCAAATTACCAAAAAGAATAGTACCAAGGTCTTATAATTCTTTTAAATAGAAAACTGAACTTAAATATTTATCATAAGAGACTTTTATTATTATTTTTATTTGATTTGATTAAAATATAAAACATAAAGTAAACAAACATATTAAAAATTCAAATCAATTTAACATATATAGTTATACCAAAGCATATGCTATTATCTAGTATAATTACTTATTTTTATATGATGATTTGAATAATTAAAATAACCCCATTCAGTATAAATTAAAAGTCTATCCACGAATTACTATATATTGATAATCCATCATAAAATAATAAGTAAAGTCACTCACACATGATAATATTTCTCAACAATTTTATCTATACTTCTATCACACAACGCCTCCATATTAGTAGAAGACTTGGCTCGCATTTCTAAAGGAATATCAGAAGGCTCATCTCCTTCATCAATCTATGCAGTAATGTCTTCATTAGCATAGTAGTTGAATTTTGTATCGATAAATGAATGTCGTCGAACGAAATTATGTATAGCCATGGTATTTGTAACTAGATGACTATGAGTGTCAAACTTGAAAGATGGTGTTGAGCGTAAAATAGAAATAATTTTAAATATATAAAAATCGTAAAAGAAATAGTTAAGTATGCTTAAATTCTAATTCAAAAAGAGTAACTAATTACTAACAACACATAATGTATAATTTATTTTTAAAAAAATTTAAATTAAAAAAAAAAAATTATTACCTAACCTTACTAACCTTGTCCCAAAATGCCAAGCGGCCTATTGCGAGGCTACCATTTGACTTAATGTGGATGCATTTTCTTCTTCTTTTGATAGTATATAAATAGATTATGCAATGTAATTGTAGATTTATTACCTATTTGTAGGTCACTTTCACAAATTAGATTTGATAACTGTTTTAAAGATTCGGGAACTAACAACATATTATAGAAGAAATTATAAATGATTATTTGTAGGAAGAGAATTGATAATCCAAAGAAGGATGCAGATAATTTGCTTTAGTGTGAAAAAGAAGATAATTTGAAAAGTTACAAGACATTACACAAAGAAAAAAATTAAAAACAAGAAATGTCAATAAAAAAATTGGAAAGTTACAATATGATTCATATAGATATCTTTAATTTTAATAGAATGGTAAAAACTAGAAACAAAAATGAAAAGAAAAAACTTAAATTAATAGGGGATAATTTTGATAATATAAATTTATGATGAGGATAATTTTGTCTTGAATAAATTAATTTTCTACTTCTGCTTCTGCTTCTTGGAAGAAGCTAAAATTTTCTGCTTCTTCCCAAAAGCAGAAAAACTGTTTCTGCTGCTGGCCAAAAGTACTTTTCTGTATTGGTCAAACAGTTCAAATTTTTTAAAAAGTACTTTTTTTCCCCTCCCAAAGCTTGGTCAAACAAGCTCTAATTCTTTTTGTACTATTAGGTCATCCTACGATATATACATTTAAGTTTGCTTACAATGTGAGATTTGTAATCTTAAAAATAAAATAGGTTATTTGCTACAACAGATAAAAGTGACACGATGATAGTAAAATTTTCTTACGCTTTTGATGCGGCGCATGTCTAATAGGAGCAATTCTTTGTTCTAAAGAATAAAGTGACTAGGTACACATTGCAATATTAGGGGCAATTGACTCTTATAATATCAATTGCATATAGTTCCAATTTAGATAGAATAACCTAACAACCTCTAAACTTGCACCAAATTTTTAAGTCGATTATCAAATTTACGAGTGTTTTACTTTAACACCTCTATTTGATAAACTTACTATGAATAAACACATTTGATTATACATTATGCTTATGTGTCGAAGATGTAGCTAATATGGCAAAAGTGCATGCCAGTTACACTTGTGAATCGTGTATATACGACAATTTTGATAAAAGCAAATTACTAAAATTACAAACAATAAATAAAAATGACAAGGAAAAGGCGGGAAAAAAAAACCTCCTTTCTAGGTACTTTTGGAGAAGTTTGGGATGTCCCATAATGTAAAAAAGTCGTAAAAACTCGGACGGTGTGGGTAGAAGTGAACATTAGACCTAAAATCTTACCTCCGAAAAATAATCTTTACGTCTTTGAAGTACAACTTACTTGCTGCTAGTAGAACTATCGCTAAAACTCTAAGTGTCGTTTGGTAAGGTGTATAAGAACAGTGCAGAATAAAGTATATTAGTAATGTATGTATTAGTACTGCAAGCATTAGATATGCAGATATTATTCTTATCTACCGTTTGGTGTGGTATATTTAAATTATAATGCATTACATAATTTTTAATAAAAATAGTTATTTACAAAAATGCTCTCTTTATTCTCTAGTTTTAAGAGACTTTAAGAACAATTTTTTCTTTAACCATACTAATGCATGCATTAATAGTCATGGTATTACTAATGCCATCGTTTTCTATGCATTACTTATACATAGGATAATACCAAGTATGATGTATAACTAATACAAATATTGATTATACACAAGTTGAAAAAATATACCAAGTAAGATATTATGAATGCATAGAGTTAATGCTTACGTTATTTTTTCTAATACCTCCTACCAAACGACCCCTAAGATTATATAGTATCAATTATTTGTTAAAATTTTATGTGAAAGGTCAAACTACGACGATAT